TCATATATTTATATACTCATATATTTATAGCTTCATGTTATACAAAAATGTGTTTATGCATTCTTCTCCATTGCACATTGTAAAGTATGTGATCAAATAATTAAAAAAAATTAAATAAATGAAAATATTGTTCCCTCGAACATTAAAATGATTTAATATTTAAATGCAAACATATAACATGGTATCAGCTGTACCTGTACTGGGATGTATATCAGATGTATTTGATGTATAATCGATATTTTATGCATTTATGTCCAATATTTGATACCTACAGAAATGTATGAACTTCTATGCACACATATTTAAAATATATACCCGACCCTTAAAGATATATGCGAATGTATGGCTGTATTTCAGATTTCCATATGGGGCTAAATCCACCCCGTCCATGCTGAGGCTGATAAAACGTGCTGGTCTTTCTGCAGGCTGCGGTGTGCTTCCGCTTCTCACCACCAGGCCGCGCCCCTTCAAGGCGACGGCGAAGCACAGATGTTGTCTGTCCCGTCCTTTTGTTTTCCCTCCATTGATGGAGGAGACCTCAGCTGTTGAAGGAGATTCTCCATTATGGCCTCAATGTTCTTTTGTAAATCATTTCCATTAAAGCCTCTCTCTCTCCCTTTCAGAGGAAGGTAACAAAACGAAGGTTAAATGGAGTCGAACACGGCGCAGACTCGCCAGGCTCCTCTGTAAGGCTCCCGATGAGGGATCACCGTGTGGGCCGGGACTTCAATCAGCGACAGTGGCTTTAAAGAGGTTCTGCGCTGGTTTGTTTTTATCACACGATGGGGCCCCCACACGCCGTGGGGACCAAAGAGCCGGTCTCCAGTTGTCTTCGTGCTGATATGGGTGGTGCAGACAGGTTCTCGACTGCGCATGCGCAGAACTGATACAGATCTTTGAAGATGGGAATATCTGCAGTGTAGTATCATCACCGGTCCTTCACTAAAGACCTGAACAACTTACAGAACTGAAACAGGCAGTGGGTATAAATGGAGATATTTCATATCTGACAATTCCAAGGGGAAAGAGGTTCATTGTAGAGGAACTCGACGACCTTCTTTACAGTGGTGGTGATAGGAACCAGGGGTCACCATGACTACAACACAAATATAGCCATTTTATTTACATCCCAAACCACCTGTGTATCATTTATATGTAACGGTAAAATGCTACTAAATCTGATAAAGTATGTTTTCTTTTGGGATGGCATGCCCACCTCCACCATGAAGGCCTTTAAAAATATGTTTTAGGCCAAAACCTTCTCATATTCATGACCATTTTATGTAATAACTTTCTGTGAGGGAGCTTTTAGAGGTGGACGTCCGGTTCCTATCACCACCACTGTGAATGATTCTGACTTGGTAAGCTTCTCTATTTCACATCAAAACACTCTGAATGACTGTTTACACACCATTTTATAAAATGGTAGAATTTCTCTTTAGCTGCAATACTGTCACTAGAAATTCTGCATACATATAACACAACTAATGGAACGGTGCTTAATAAGCTAACATGGTTGCTAATTAACCTCCTAGCACAATGTAGCTAGCATTAACTAGCTTAGTTTCCAAGCAGAATCAGTAGAAAGTGTTTACACCTCACATACTTGACTGTAAATAAATGCATATGTTTCATATTTCAATTCATGTGTTACAATAAGATTTAGGCTATATGCTAAAAGCGATATGCTATGTTTGTATCAAGGAATGAGGACTACACTTCACTTAAGAGAGCCTAATGGTGCCAGATTGTGGGCTCCACTGAGCTCTGAGTGGACTGTAAGGTTGTGTGCTAAAAACAAGCAATGTCCTACAAGCGAATTGTTGACCAGGCCATCAAACAATGGTCCAAACATTGCCAAATATCTGTTCATTTCACTTATGGAAACAGCTAACATAGCTAGGCATTCTAGCTAGCTAATTTACATTTAATTAGCAAATTATTTAGCAAATGTAACTACTTTTTTGTATAAAGCTCTAGCTAGCTGGCTTGCTAACTTAAGATTATTTAAGTTTAGATTACTAATATATGGATTTGCAGACTTCATTGCTAGTATCAACTTGATTAACTTGTTTTTTTGCTTTGTAATTAGCTAACTAGACAAATTAATGTTAAATTAGCAATTAGCAAACATTAGCTGAACTGTAAGTGACCAAATAAGTCATGTATCAGGAAAATCACACTGTATTGACTTCATTAAGTTAAAAAAAAGCTTGTATTTAAGCAAAGACAGCACATTTTGCCAAAAAATGTATTAGCGAATAATCCAACAGCTTAAGAACAATATTTGTCTTACACTGCATCCACAAATGCAAGTTAAGACTGTACGATGCCCAGTGGAAGTCATATGGTAACAATGTCAAGAAACGCCGCCGACTTCTCTGGGCTCGAACACATCTGAAATGGTCAGGCGCTGTCATGATATATGAGGGGTAATAGTGGGTAACCTGCACATCTAGGAACGTACCATTAACACTGAACACATTTTGGAGTAACATATGCTGCCTTTTAGACAAGATCTTTTTCAGAGATATACATGCTTTTTTCAACATGGCAACAACAAGCCACCTTCTGCACATGTTACAACAGCATGGCTGTGTAATCTGAAAGTGCAGGTGCTAGACTGACCTTCCTGCTGTCCAGAACTGTCTCTTATTGAAAACTTGTGGCACATTTTGAAGTGTAAAATATGACAGCGAAGGCTCTGTATGGTTGCACAGTTGAAGATGTGTGTAACAGAAGGACATTTTGGAACTTGTTGCATGCATCAAATTTGGAATGAGGTAGAACGTCAAATATCATGTTTCCGCTTTCAGCTTAATACAGAATTCACTAATCAGCACTTTCTGCATTTTATTAGCATTTCACATACTGTCCCAACTTTTTTGGCATAGTGGTGTGTAATTGTGTGTTTGTGTACTGAGTGATGTCCTGCCTACTGTACCTGGAAAAGAATAAAGGGCCAATTTGTGGTCAGTTACAGCTATGAAGAGCTGTACAGCTTTGTTTTTAGTTCCACATAGGAGGAGGAGCCTATGTGTGTCATACAAATTTCAAGGTAACACTTAGCGACAGCAATTGATTAGCAGTTCTCACACACTAGCTTTAAGTATGGAATCATGTCTCATATTAATAATTGCTGTTATTTAATAATAATTCCAGTGTTGATTAAAATTCTATGAGCTGGACAACAAAGGTGTTTCAAGATATTTTATTAAAAACCGATTGGAAACATCAAGAAGTTAAATTGTTTAAAATTGTAAATAATATGATATACGGTAATTTTCCATATATAATACTTTTTAATATGAGGCATTTTGGAGGCTAATTTTCTTATATATTTTCATTATTAGCTTCATTCTTATTGTTTCTACAGCTTGTTCAGTATTGCCGAACCGTCGTCTACAGCACCAAACATTAAAATCGGCCATCTGAGATGTTTGCCGTTGGGATTTCTTGGGATCAAGATAAAGAGAAAATGCAACCAACTTCTAAGACTGAACTTCAGAAGTCTGGAAAAATATCCCTGCAGATTTCTTAGAAAACTGAGAAAGAAAAGAAGCTGTAATAAAGATAAGGAGTGGACATGCTAAATGCTGAACAAGTGATATTATATTTGGTTTTTGAGGCTTCTGTGTAATTTTTTGTTTATATGTTTTTTGCTCTTCCCTGATGCTGAAAAATTAATATCTGTGCTGTCCCGACTGTTGTTGAGATAGAGGAGTAGGGTGAAGTGTCAGGGCTACATGACCCTCCAAACGGAGGTTTTTCAGAGACTCCAAACAGAGTGATATGAGAAAAAAAGAAAAACCAGCGAGATCGTTACACAAGAGACCAAAGAAACCCACAAATGTGAGAATTTTCTGTGTTAAAAATTACGATAATCACTGTATAATCTTAGTTTGATGTTGTTTTAATGTATTATGGCCCTTTTCTTCATAACAAACATAAAAAATCACTAGTAGTATGACAATGTCTCAGTAGCTAACAAGCTAAAGTTCCTGTTCCACATTAATTGACAGAACTGCTGCTCCATTTAAGGTGGAACAGAAAAATTCAGACAAGAAGCTGGTGAATATCTGACTTCAGCTTCATATCACTGAAGAATTAGGGCTGGGTGATAATAAATAATTGCCCCCCTCTTTGAAGGCATATGAGTCCCTAAATGTAACTAAAGCCCAGCAGTGAGGAGCTGAACTTTACCCTCCTCTGCTGTCACTGCAGACTGGCAGGGTCGCCCACAGAGCAGCGCTAGTAGCTGTTAATGAAGTGATGCTCTTTTTATTTGAAGGTTGTCTCGTTTTGTAGGGAAAGATTGTCAACCAAGGTGACTCGAAAATAAAGGGTAGGGCTAAAAATAAGAAATGGGACTGGGCCTTAATAAATGACGGGTGGTCTCTGATGCACAGCATTGTATCTTCAACAGGTAAATTTTTCCGAACAATGCTAATTTTGAATGGTAATGTGCATTTATGTTTGATGAAATACATTCTATGTCTTAAGAAGGACACTTTGGCTGACCACTTTGAATGGACACTTATATTAAAGTTAAAGGACTGTTTTCAGCCTGATCTCTGTCTGCCGCATCTGTAGTGTTTGGTCGAATACCACAGAGGAACAGGAACAGAAAACAAGCCCTTGGGTGGTAATTTTGTGGTGGCAATTGTAAGTGACAGAAGCTTTAAGTGGCTTGTGTACCCAAAGTTGTTTATTTTTTATTGTGAGGCAGCACAAAGGGAAAATTTGGGCACAATTTTTAAAGTACCTCTTAAAGCAAGGACTGGCTTGAGCACAAACTCAGTGTTCATCAAAATGTTTTAATAAAATGTTCAGTTTTTTTTCCGATGAATGAAAAAACCAAATACTGTATGTTACAAACAGGCCAGAGGGAAAAATGCAGTCCAAAATGGAACAAATTTAATCTCTAACTTTTGAATAAAGAAATAACCAAAGCCAAAATGACGAAGTTTTAGCTTTTCAATGAAATCCTCGTTGTTCCCCCATCTGCGACGACCTTCTCTAGACTGTAAATAATAGCAGTTAAAAAGAAGAAGGAAAACAATGGTAACAGGTATGAGCACTAACTTAGATTGTGATGTCAACGCTTAGGCGGGGGAAACCATGGCAACGGAAAAGAATTCCACTTGTATGCGATTGGTCGGCTATGCGGCCTGACTGCGACCGGCCTGTAGAAAGGGAACGGAGAGAGGAAGGAGAGATGTCCCTGCTAGGTTTTCTAAGTTTGTCCCGTTTCTGGGTAATGCCCTCCAGCCGTTTGTGGGGGTGACTGCTGGGCATTTCTTCGTCCTGCCTGGGCTAACTGGGGCGGCCAGGTTACGCAGCAGTCTCGTACAGTACTGAGAAGACGGGGTTGGAGCCAGTGGGGCTTGAGTTCTTCGGGCTGGGTGGGTGAGTTTCCAGTCCCTTGTCCATTTGTCCTGCACCCTTGAGTCCTGCCCTCTTTCTCTGTCCATGCCCCTTGTAGCCTCTCTACCATACCGTGTTCTCCCCCATCTCCTGGCCAGAGTGGGGAAGTGGGCCGTTGTAGCTGGTGTTGTTGGCCAGAGGGAAGGGCGGACTAGGCCCTCCTCCAAACCCCTCTCCCTGTGGATTGGGATGCAGGGGTCCGGTCAGGCCGGGCTCAGGACTGGGCGTGTCTGCATGAGAGATCATGTCCGTGAACCTTTGGTCGTCCGTGGGGTGGTGGCCTGAGGCCGGACCCCCATCCAGCGCCCCAGAGCCTGAGCTGAGGAGGTAGGGTGGCTCTGCCGGAGACTGGGCCTGCGAGGAAGGGGGACCATGGGGGAAGAAGTCGTAGTTGACCCCTGGGCCATAGTAGTCGCCCTGGTACTCTGCGGAGGAGAAAGAAAAGAGGAAATCTAATCAACAGTTTGGAGAAGGCATGCTGCTACATGGTGAGCTGGAGGTTCTGGGTTCAAACAGACCCTCTACAGGTAGGTAATCATCATATCTGCTGGATTTAAACTCTGCAAATATTACAGTAATATAGTGATTTGCAATGAGTGTGAGAGAAAAACGTCACTTTAAGCCTCCTGGAAGTTCTAGATACATCAACAACTGTTAGAATACGGGCTGTAAGAGTGACTGTAAAACTGCCACAAGGTAAAATATGTTAATGCATGTTAGCTCAAATAAAACACGGACTGTCTTTTACATACTTCAATATTCCGTGTTTGATCTAGACAGACTGTTCATGTGAAACGCCATTAGCTTAGAGCTAACAAGCTAACTAGAAACCCCATAATGGCATTAGCAAAAACGAGCATTATTTTAGAGGTGTTTTTTGCAGTTCAGCTTCATGGCCTGAACTGAAGGCCTAGTTCTAGTGGTCAAGGTTCACTGCTGGAAATCTAACGTTGAGCAGCTTCTCGTTGCAGTTTTGTTTCATTTTATTCAATATTTGTTTTCTTCAGGTCTTTTTTATTCAATATATTAATTTTAGCATTTAAAAAAAACATTAGCAATTAAGAAAACATATGCAAATCTATTTGAGAACACAGCTCAACATTCTCAGAGGGAAAGGTGATGATTTAGGCGTGCAGTTTAGCATGATGCTAATTGGTGGGGTATAAGCTTCCATTAACCTTGTATCTCCAGAACAAAACTACAGAAGAGAACCTCAGACACCAAACATTTCTGGACTGGTTTCTATGATGTTTTAGGTGGTTACTAGGGTGTTGCTAGGTGGTTCTTAAGGTACAACTAGTTGGTTGCTATGGTGTTCCCAGGTGGTTGGTAGGTTGTTGCTAGGTCTTTGCTATGGTGTCCCAAATGTTCACTAGGGTGTAGTTAGGTGGTTGTGGTGTTCCAGGTGGTTGCTAAGGTGTTGCTAGGTGGTTGATATAATATGCCAGTTGGTTCCTAGGGTTTTGCTAGGTGGATGCTGTGGTATCCCAGGTGGTTGCTAGAATTTTATTAAGCGGTTACTTTGTTCTCTCATGTTGTTAGTGTAATTAACATAAGTGGAGTGCGGACTTTTGCCAACACGATTCCAGCGTTCATTCCTCTGAAAAAAAACTATTTAATGATCACTGACCGAAAAACCGTATGTCTAATCAAAAAGGTGAAACGAGCCCACCATTCCTAACAGTCAGACCATTCTTAAGTTGACATGGTGATAATATCGTGAAAACTGTGGGACGAGGTAGTGGACAAGAATTGGGCAGAAAAACAAGAAGATGAAGAAGGATAATAGCAGTGTTGTGCATTGCAGAGCACTAATAAACTTAACAGAACAGAGATCAGACTTGACTCCATTAGTAATGGCATGCAGGCTATGAGTAATAACCCAAATCACGTGACTGTGGCAATGCCCCGGGCCGTGTTAGTCACTGATACTCTGCGGAGTAAATCAAATTACCGTCTCTCTTGTTGGAGATGTTTTGGCTCCAGTAAACACTATTTGTTTGGCTGCTTTTGTCTTATTTTGTCATGCATGCTTGTGCTGCGTTTCTTAATCCTAATCTGATTAACACGCTTGGGACGGGGCTGGTTTGGTTCAGACGTTCGGCTGGCTCGGGTCTGAGAGGCAGAGCAATAAAAGAAGAAAAAGGAATGAAAAGCTATTAATGAACGAGTAAACAGAGCCATCGTGACGAGACCTTGGGCAGAAATTCGGGGGGCTGGGAGGGACACGCCTTCTTCTTTCTGGCTTTTCCTTTCCACTTGCATGTACACTTACTGTTGCCTCTCCCACACAAACAAAAACACAATTACTCCATTTCCCATGCCCTAAATTTCTACCTCCCTCCGACACCCAAACACATAGTATCTCCTGAGCCGGTGTCAGAGAGCACACAAAAAATGGTAGAAATGTATTCCCCTCCTCGGTGCCTCCGGCTCTGGGCGTGCGTCCGCACTAATGTGACTTATTTACCGTATGCCGGCAAAAACTCAATAACTGGCAACCCGGGGAATTCTGCGGAGCTCCACGGTTAGATTACACTCCACTCTGCTTTGAAAAATTAACCACGGTTTCGGCGACGGAGCGGCGAGCCACTATACAAATAAAGAACTAAATAAATAAATAAGAACTTCTGCTGGAAAACAAATTGTCCAGCCTGCCTATGTACGGCCATCTGTTTTCAGACTTCATTTCCCAGCAGGCCTTGCCTGATTCATCCCAATCACTTTGCATACAGTAGTGGATTTGCCAGCTCCTACCTACAACCTGTCAGATGATCTGGTTTCAAGCAGGTCCTTTACAGGTGGTCTTGTAGCATAAACACTAATCATAACTACAGCATTTCATGCATATTTATACTTTATACTTTATAATTTGTTTGAAGATAGTTAATAATAAAATGATTTGAAAATTATTGGACTGTCTTGTTTGAACAATAGAACAAATATCCTTTACATTTTAAATGTGTGTCATTTTTTATCATCTAAAAAAATGGGAAAAAGTCAGAAACGCAGCCCTAAGCCTGTCGATACAGAATGCAAAGCAAATGTCAATGTAACTACTGTGTAACCACTATGTAATTAATGGAATTATGATGTATTTACGCTTTTAAATTTAAATTATACTGCCAAACAACAGCATTGCACTAGATTTTATCCTCTATGGCCTTATTCTTTGCAGGGGAGACAGAGATGGCATGACACATAGAGAGAGAGAGAGAGAGAGAGAGAGAAGAAGAGAAGCAGCAAAGGGGGAATAGAGCCAAAAACAGAGTAAGCGAGAAAGGAAGATAGGGGAAAAGAGAGCGAGAGAGGCGATGGGAGGGGGAGGCTTTTGTTGTTTCAAGGTGAGGGAAAAGGCCCACAGTCGGAGCGTGGGCGTGGAAGGACGAAGTGCAGCATTACTGTGTGTTTTTGTGTGTAGCGCGAAGGACAATTCTTTGTGTTTGTTAAAAAGGAAGAATAAAGGACTAAAGAGAGTGAGAGACATAGAGAGAGAGAGAGAGAGAGAGAGAGAGAGAGAGAGACATAGAGAGAGAGAGAGAGAGAGAGAGAGTTTTTCCACTCATACCTCCATAGTAGCTGTATCCCCCAGGGCCCAGGATATCAGGGTCGTCCAGCCGCCCACCCAGCGGTCTCATTCTCCTCGGACCCCTAAAGAAGGCGTGCCGACGGGCCCCCAGAGCGCTCAGCTGCTTCATCCTCCTCTCCTTCGACCGCCTGTTCTGAAACCACACCTGCAGAACAGAGAGAGAGAGAGAGAGAGAGAGAGAGAGACAGAGAATATTAGTCTACATAATAAAACATAATAATATAATGGTAACGTTACAGGAGAAGGCAAAAAAATCCATACTATATATATATATATATATATATATATATATATATATATATATTTCAGTTCTTTGACAATTTGAAAAGAAACAGCCCAAAATCACCTGTTTTTCCTTCTCCTGTAAAATACAAGGTACAAAATACAAACTGTACAAGTTTTTTTCCAATAGTAGTGATATATACACACATACATATACATACATATATTTATATATGTGGTTAATGCATTTTTAGCCACTGCATTAGAAATTTTACTACACTGTTGTGAATATGTCATCCGTAAATATTTATGAATGCCAGGCAGTTTTAGCATAAATGTCTATAGCAAAATTAATAGCTAATATATGGGAGCTCTTAGCCTAGTTGTTGTTTATATTGACTGCACACATGAATAGTTTAATGCTTAAAGCACTTACAATGCATACATAACATTATCATATGAAAAGTAATATCCAGCTTACATACAAAAATCACAAACTAGCTGTAGGTTTTTTTGAAACACATTTGTAAAGTTAATGTAATGCTTGTAAAGGTTATGAGATATTTTTAACACAATAATAAAATCCAGAAATCCAGTGCATACTTTGAACAGCATTTATAACTGCTTGTAACACATTTATAACACATGCATAACATGCTAAGGCATTTAAGTACTGTGACTGTAACATAAATGCATAGTGAAGAAATTGCAATCTGCCTGTACTTTACATTAAATGAAAATTATTTTATTAGTATTTGTTTATAACACATGCATAACATGCTCATAAGACATATATAAACATTCATGAATTCTATGTTGTGCCGTGACTGCAGTTAGCATATTTGCTGGTGTAAAATTAGAGAACATATTGGCATGACATTCTGGTGTAGATGTTTCTTGATGCCCAGTTTGCTGTTTATGACCATCTTCTGACCTCGAACTCCACCTCTAAAGGAATTAGCATAATCCTAATTCACCCAAAGCCTCTAATCTGACCCCCAGGCCTAAAATCCTGACCCATACACTTTAAAAAGACGGTTCTTCAGGGGTTCTTTTGTAACGGCAGTGGTTCTATTTAGAACCATGAGTTTTATATAGGAAAATTTCAAGCTTAAATAGTTCTTTGCACGGCAAAGTGGTTGTTCAGACTGATGGAGAATGTGTTGTATATGGTTCTATGTAGCACCTTTTTGAAAATGGTTCTACATAGTACCAAAAAGGGTTCTGCACTCTTAAAAAAGACAATTCCTCAAGGGTTTAAAGAAAATTATTCTATACAGAACCATGAACAATCAAAGAACCTTTGCATGATTAAAGCATTCTTTGCATTGTGAAAGGGTTTTTCAGATTGATGGAGAATGTGCTGTAGATGGTTCTATATATATATAGAACCTTTTTTAAAAGGGCTCTATAAAGCACCAAAAAGGGTTCTTCTATTTTTACAAGCTCATATCGTAACAATAGCAGAACCCTTTTTGGTGTTATGTTGAACCATTTTCAAGTTTCTATGTAGAGTCATATACAACATGTTCTTTATCAATCTGAAGAACCGTTTTACCATGCAAAGAACCATTTAAGCACGCAAATATTTCTAGATAGAACTTGTGGTTCTGAATAGAACTACTCCCTTTACTAAAGAGCCCTTGAAGAACCAAAAAGAGTGTGCTATTGTCGCTTGTAGCAATAGAAGAACCCTTTTAGAGCCATAAAAAGATTCTATACAAAACCTTTCAAAAAATTATTCTGTATAGCACTGAAAAGGTTCTGCTATTTTAACAATGTCACGCTTGTAACACTAGCAGAACATTTTTTGGTTCTATATAGAACCAGTTTCAAAAAGGTTCTACATAGAACAATATATAAAACATTCTCAATCAACCTAGAAAAGCATTTCACCATGCAAAGGACCGCTTAAGCATGAAATAATTCTATGCAGAATTTATGGTTCTAAATAGAACCATTGTCTTTACTAAGGAACCCTTGAAGAACCATCTGTTTTAAGTGTGCATCATTACAGCTACTGTGTTCATACACTGAGTTTCAGGCTGTTAGCATTCTGACTGATAACGTTTCAAATATATAAATAAGATTAATTGCAATTAATATCAATTTAATAACATTAAACAGTTACAGAGGACACAGTTTGAATATTCAGCAGGAATGTCTGGGATTGGTCAGTGCAGGGAAAATGAGCTGTTATTTGATGGTTCCAGATATCTGATTGTTTCAGGAGACAGAATTGATTGCATTAGTAATTGATCGTCCAGTGGCTACTTAAATGGTATAAATCCGTCTGGCAGGCACATCGCTGCCATGTCACTACACTGTAGATATCTAATGTAATTACAGGGCCTGTGTCCTACATTTATACTGTATTTCAGATTTTACCTCTGAGGTCCACTTATAACATTTATGTGGTTTCAAATGTGCCAAAATGCTCATAATCATAATTAAGTTGGCTTGAAAAATAGCTTATGTACGGTTTCCGTAAAGTAATCGTTCAAAGACGATATTTTTTCCCATAGGAAATGAATGATGTAATGTTTGGGACATTCAAGTCTAACTGCTACAAGTGATGTCACAATGCACATCCCTCACACAGACACTCATACACAGTACACACAGACTCACACACTTACAACCTGATGCACAGCAATATCAGCACAAATAAACGATTTAAGGAGGCAGTGAATTTAAGGTTGCACTGGATTTAATGTATCAGCAAATTTAAGGTGGCAGATTTAAGCCACTCAGTGACTCAGTGCATGCAGGTTATGAGTGAGAAGCCAAATACTATAACCATAGCAACCCCTTTCCCTCCCCTACCCCCACCACCAACACTGAGTAGACTGCAGCACTTAATAAGGAATTAAACATACAGTATATATTACATTATATATACATACAGCACATCAGTACCTACTGATACAGTATAAAAGGAGATGATTTAAAGGGTGACAGTAAACTCTGCTCTGATAAACAAAACCAAACAGACAGGTGGTGAAGTTCTTGGTATATTTTCTGTTCTGGTTTCATCTCAGGTCATGTGGTCAGCCGTATGGTCAGCAGTGATAGAGCCTGTACTCTAGTGTCTTTTGGAATCACTCGCTATGTTCTTAATTTTGGTTATTTTATATGCAATATGGATTAAAGTATCACAAACTATTCACCAGAATAAACTCTCAGATGTTTTATTCAGTATTTTAATCACTATTTGAGTAAGAGGTGAATAAACTGATAAATACTGCAGTGATCAGTTTATCGGTTTCTCTGCTGTGAGGTCTGATCTACTGTTCTCCATCAGATCGTTTTCCAACTGTAGACGTATAAAGAAAGCCAGGTTGTGCTACAAGCGGACTAAACACTGCGGTCAGTAGAGGACAGAACAGTGTCCACTTCATCAATAAAAGTGCTCATTTTCTATCTCTCTCTCTCTCTGTATCTCTCTCTCTCTCTCTCTCTCTGTCCTTCTTACTCTCATTTTTTCTCTTTCTCTTCTATCGCTCTACCTCTGTCTTCTTTCTCTCTTGCTCTCTCTTTTTTGCTCCCTCTTTTTCTCTCTGTTCTTCATGTCCCTCTAACTCTCCCTGTCTGTCTTCTTTATCTCTCTCTCGCTCTCTTCTTTCTCGCTTTCTCTCTTCTTTATTTCTCTCTCGCTCTCTCTTCTTTCTCTCTCACTAATACTCTCTCTCCCTGTATCTCTATGCTTTAGCTCTCTCGCTCTCTCTCTATTGCTTTATCTTCTTTATCTCTCTTTGTTTTTCTGACACTTTCTTCCTCTTTCACTTCTTTTTCTCTTTTTTCTGTATTCTTTCTTCTCTCTCTCTCCTTTCTTTTTTTCTGTCATGTCCTCTTGTCTCACTCCCACTCTTCTTTCCCTTCTTTCTCCCTCTTTCTTTATTTGTCTGATATATGTATATATATATATATATATATATATATATATATATATATATATATATATATAGTATCTTCGCTGTCAGTGTAGAGTGTCAATATTAAGTGTGTGTGAAAGAACCGGAGTGTGAAGGTTCTGCGCCGCTGAGATGGTGTTCTAGCTCCGTCAGATGCTGCTGTCAAACATGAGCATGATGTTCTAACACGTCCACAGAAACAGCAGTTAACCTGCGGCGCTCCGATCTAACCTCGCACTCCAAAACCGTCAGAGTGAGTGCGATTTTCACGCTGAGCGAAGGAGGAATTCACACTGACTTCAATGTAATCAGAGGAGGAGAAGAAGGAGAGACGAGAGGAGATGGACGAAAACGTCCAGTGTGACGCTGAGCTGCTGCGTGATGACCACGACTAATTCTGCTTCATCACTGCAAGAGCATATTCAGCCTTACAGACAGCAGAGCGATTAAAGAGCAGAGAGAAAAGGATGGAGGGAAGGAGGGAAGATGTAGGGATGAATGAAAATAAAGAGGAAAAATGAACAGAAATAAGGAAAATTAGACAGAAATAAGGGAAGAGAATAGGACGAGACATGAGAGAGAAGAAGAAAGAAAGAAAGAAAGAAAGAGATAATCAGTGAATGAATGCACATGAAAGAAGGGAGGACCAGACGACAAAAAGAAATAGGAGAAATAGAAAGCAGAAAAATAATGAAATGGACAGAAAAGAGAAAGAGGCAAAAAATGAACGAGTGAGAGAAAAAGGAACGAGAATGAAAGAAATTTATGTGAGAGTGAGAGAGAAAAAAGAGATAAGTGACAGATGAGGAGAGAAAGAGAAGAGTGAGTGAGAGAGAGAAGTAAATGAAAAAGAGGGAAACAAGAAAAGAATGAGGCAGAAAACAGAGAGAAAGGGGAAAGAGAACGAAGAGGGAGAGACAAAAGACAGAAAAAGGACAAAAAATGGAAACAGACAATGAAGAGAGAAAAAGTAAAGGGAATGAGAAAGAAAGAAAGAAAGAAAGAAGGAAGGAAGGAAAGAAAGAAAGAAAGAAAGAAAGAATGAAAGAGAAAAAGAAAAGAAAGGACAAAAGTTTAGAAAGTAGAGAAAAAGTGATGAGAAAGAATGAAAAACGAGAATGATAGCTGGAAAAACAGTGAGCAAGAGAAAAAAGGGAAATGGAAAGAACAAAAGGAAGAAAGAGAAAAGAAGAGAGAGAGGAAAAAGATGGAGACAGAAAAATGAAAACACATGGCAGAAATGAGAGAGAGATCGAAAGAAAAATATGAGAAAAAGAAAAGGAAAAGGATTATAAAAGAAAGGATCAAGAGAAAGAGAAAGAAAAAGAATGAGGGACAAAAAAGGCAGAAATGGAAAGATAATGAAAAGGAGAAAGAGAAAGGAAGGAGAATGAGAAAAGAGAGAAAGATGGAAAGAGAGAGAGAAAACTGAAAATGGATGACAGAAGTGAGAAAGAGAAAGATAGAAAGAAAGAAAAAGAAAAGGGAAAGGTGATAAAAAAGGATTGAGAGAGAGAGAGAAAAGAAAGAGAATGAGGGAGAGAAAGAAGAGAAAGGGAATGAGAAAGAGAAAGAAAAAAGGAAAAAGAAAAAGAGAAAGTAAAGGACAAAAGATTTTAGAAGTAGAGAAAGTGAAAGAAAGAGAATGAGGGAGAGAAACAAGAGAAACAGAAAGAGAACGAAAGGGATAAAGAGAGAAAAACGAAGGAGAACGAGAGGAGAGAAAAAGAGGAAAAAGATGGAAAGAGATAAAGAGAAAAAATGAAAATGGATGACAGAAACGAGAGAGAGAGAGATAGAAAAAGATGAGAAAGAGAAAAGGGAGAGATGATAAAAGAAAGGATCGAGAGAAAGAGAGAAAAGAAAGAATGAGGGAGAGAAAAAAGAGAAATGGAAAGAACAAAAGGAAAACAGAAAGAGAAAGGACGGACAACGATAGAAGGAAGAGAGAAAGAGGAAAAAGATGGAAAGGGACAGATAAAAGAAAGATCTGAGAGAAAGAGAAAAAAGAAAGAGAATGAGGGAGAGAAATGAGAAAAAGGGAAAGACACTGAGACAGAAATGACAGAGAGAGAGAGAGAGAGAGAGAGAGAGAAAGGAAAAAGAATGAGAGAGAAAAGAGAGAAAGAGAGAGAAAAAAGAAAGTGAAAAAAGAGAAGGATGACAACAAAGAGAGAAAAGGCGCGCGAGAGAAAAAAAAGACAGTAAAAGAAAAAGAAAAGAATGAGAAAAAGGAAAGAGACTGAGAGAGTAAAGGAGTGTGTGTGTGTGTGTGTGAGAGAGAGAGAGAGAGAGAGAGAGAGCGAGAGAGGTGTGCTCTGTATGTAAACCTCTTCATTCCTCCTCATGCTTGGTAAAAGCAGCACCTGCTTACTGAGAACAATCGTCTAACAGTTGAATACATTTGTATGGAAATGTCGGCCCTCCTCCAGAGCGAGGGATTACACACACACGCACACACACACTCGCTCCGCAGGGGCCGTCTGCAGTAACACACAGCGCAGGAGTCGGGGGGCCGCCTCCATTTTGGCTCTAAACAAACCCACCCAGAGCAGCAGCGCAGTGAGTGACTCTGTTTCGGTCTCAGCTCTGAATATAAATGCCATTCGCTGCCTTTACTTCAGCGCTAACTACAGCTGTGAATGAGGCCTTACAGACGGACACCAGGCAGAGCTGACCGCTCTGGTCCTGACCATCATTTTACATTGCATCTCCAATTCCCCTCCACTCTGGTCAAACTGTGTGTAGCTCCGCCCACTTCACAAACACATCACCTACCACTGTAAAGCTAGTTTACTGCAGAATCTTACTAGTACATCTAAACACGTCTGTTTCCTTTGTTTTAAGGGTTCTTTCCACAATGAAATGGTTCTTCAAGGGTTCTTCAGTAAAAAAGTTATTCTATATAGAACCATGAACACGCAAAGAAACCTTTGCATGATTAAAGGGGTCTTGCAACATGAAATGATTCTTCAGATTTATGCAGAATGTGTTGTATATAGTTCTATATAGAACCTTTTTGGAAGGGGTTCTTTGTAGGACCAAAAAGCGTTCTTCTATTGTTACTAGCTTGACATCTTAACAAGAAAAGAACCTTTTTTGGTGCCAAACAAAACCATTTTCAAAAAGAGTATATATAGAGCCATCTACAATACTTTTTTCATCAATTTAAGGAACTATTTCATGATGCAAAGAACCTTTTAATTATGCAAAAGGTTCTTTGAGTGTTCATGGTTCTATCTAGAACTATTTTCTCCATTAAAGAACCCACCTTTTTGTGTACGTCCAGAACCAAATGGTACTCATAGATGAAAGTGGTATATAATAGCATAGTGTTTTCTTTATTAAAGAATAAAACATTTCAGTGATTTTAGTAATTTTCTGTTGTTTTGGTTTTAAGCATTTTTACATAATTAATATCTCATTTGCATATTTAAATGCATGTTGTAAAGAAATCCCAATATACAAAAAATACTTGTGAGAATGTCAATGACAAGCAAAGATTAATTGTAATATCTGTCATTCAACTAAATGATTATATTTCTGTAATATTAATATTTTATTGAAATACAGTGGAATAAACATTATTCTAATAATACAAAGTGAGTTTTTTAGGATTAAAAGCTTTCTAGGAAACTCTTTTAGCCATTAATGAGCAGCAGGATTATTTGCCACTCCCCAAAGTAATATAAAACACTTGAGTGCTCCCTCTGATCTAAAATATAAAGTCACCTTCACGAATTGTGAAAGTGGGCGGGGTTAATTAATGAAGAATAAAAAATCACTCACTAGAAAGTGATCAAATCAGGAGGAGGAAAAAATCAGCAGAAGAAAAAAATATCTTAGGGCGATATGGTGTGTGTGTGTGTGTGTGTGTGTGTGTGTGTGCTCCTCTTGCTATCCTTGTGAGGACTGCGTGTCCTCACAATGACAGGACAACATGACACTCAAATGCACGAGTGAGGACGTGTCGTTTTCACCACAATTTATGTTATTTAGACAAACTATAAGAGCAGAAAACTTGTCTTTTGGATACTGAGGTTAAGATAGGGGGGTCAGGTTTAGATGCAGGTGTAGTTTTACTTAGCTACAGTAATAAAAAACGATGGAAGTCCTCATTAGCAGCGTTTAACAAACGTGTGTGTGTACCTGTATGACGCGCATGTTCAGGCCGGTCTCCTGGGCCAGTTGCTCGCGGATGTGGCGTGTGGGTTTGGGCGTGGCCACAAACGCAGCCTTTAGTGTCTCCAGCTGTTTGGCCTTGATGGTGGTCCGCGGACCCCTCCGCTTCTGACACGACCCCTGCTCCTCGTTCTCGTTGTTGTTGGTGTCCTTGTCCGAGCAGGTGGAGTTATCCGTCTCCTTGGTGTCTTCCGGGCCAGGCTCGGGCAGGTCGGGGGACAGACTGCGGTCCGTACATGAGGACACTGCACAGAGAGATCAATAACATGGATCAATAACACTGACCCCTGATCAAGAACACTCACCCACTAATCAATAGCATTGCTCACTGATCAATAACACTGATCACTGATCAATTATGCTGATCAATAAGACTGACTATTGACAACTAATACTAACTAATAATCACTGATCAACAACACTGATCACTGATCAATAACACTGTTCAGTCATCAATATAATTGACAAATGATCAACAGCACAGGTCACTGATCAATAACATTGTCCACTGATCAATTCCACTGATCACTGACCAACAACACTGATCAATAATCAATAGCACTAACGATAACATTTTCCACTAATCAGTAACACACATCAATAACACTAACCATTCACCAATAAGACTGATCACTGATCAATAGCCTTATAACATTTAGCAATGGCCCTGATCACTGATCAATAACCCTGATCATTAACCAATAACACTGATCAATCAGACAGACCACTGACCAACAACACAACACTGATCCATAACGATGACCACAGATCTATATTACTGATAAGCATTAATATATCACCAATTATTAATTCAATCCAGTAAATAATAAATGAGAGCCTTTATTGAAATATTGATTATTTAGCTTCTGTAAAACTGTAACAGCTCAATGCTGTTTAGAGCAGCACAGTCGAGGCTATAGAGTTCCAATCAACTGAACATGTAGACAAGGTTACTGTCTTTATTAATGCTAATAATTATTCAGACATGATATAAACTCACTTTATTAAGTCTATACATTCATAAATAAATACACATTAAAAGCTGCCATCTGATCTGAACTCAGTCACTGGTTTAAATGGTTTAATTTACTGATTTGCTGATTGTGACGCGACACAGCTTGAATAATAACCAGCATTTAACAATATATACATATGCGTATATGCATAGATGGTCCGCATTGCTGCATTACAACCAATGTCCATATTTTGTCTATATATATATATATATATATATACACACATATATATATTCAAAAAATATATACATCAGTCATTTTACAATATACAGATAATAAAAACACTGTATTAATTAAAAGCACCAGTTTGGAATATATAAAAAGGTGCCCAGTGTGTCCAGTGGATTTACTCCCTTATAATACCTTAAGCATTTTAAGTGGATTCCTGACTCAGAATGTGTGCTATTTTATGCATAAAGTCTATAATTTCTTAAAGTAATAAAAACAGTTGACTTTTATTTTGAAGTCAGGCAAAAGGCTAATAGATCAATATAAAATAGCCCCAGATCAGGGTCCTCACTCTGGAGCTCACTCAGAATCATGACAGCTAGCATTCTTATTGTGTTATTGGCTTTTCTGTCTATCTATCTTTATATCTATCTATCTGTCTATCTATCTATCTGTCTATCTATCTATATAGATATATACAAAACATGAACATCGGTTGTAAACTAGACTTCAGTGCTTCTTCTGAAATGAAGGGTATTAATGTGGCCTTTGCTGCAGTAACAGCCTCTACTCTTCTGGGAAGGCTTTGCACTAGATTGCTGTGAGGATTTGATTGAGCATTAGTGAGGTCAGGTACTGATGTTGGATGGGCAGTTCTGCATCACTATAGAGAACGTAGTTCCACTGCTCCACAGCCCAATGCTGGGAGGCTTTATACCCCTCTAGACCACTCTTGGCATTGAGCATGTTGACCTTATGCTCGTGTGCGGCTGCTCTAGAACGTCCTATTGCATTGGTCTGTGCTTTTCTATGGAAATGTATACTTTCCAATTGGACACCAATGTCAGCAGTAGGTGCACATTAAAGTAGCTGAATTCACTCAATAAGACTGTCTGGATACTTTTGGACATACATTGCAATATCAAATGAAGCTTTCTAGATAGACAGATAGATAGATAGACAGACAGACAGACAGATAGATAGATAGACAGACAGACAGACAGACAGACAGATAGAAAGATAGATAGATAGATAGATAGATAGATAGATAGATAGATAGACAGACAGACAGATAGAGACAGACAGACAGATAGATAGATAGATAAATAGATTGATAGACAGACAAATAGATTGATAGACAGACAAATAGATAGATAGTGCATCTTTATGCACATTCATATTCCAAAAATAGAAGAAATTGATACACATATAGAGAGACAAAACAGGAAAACCCCGATCACGTGCCAGTGCATAAGAAGCCGCGCGCTTTTGAGCGGAAATAGGTATAACTGATTAATTACACGGTTATAGCGCGAGAGAGCTCTACATGCCCAATTAACACTGTTACTGTAACAAACGGCGGCCTGTGATTGTTACAACACATTTATAACGTACTTATAAACAGCTTACATAATCTCGCTCGCTCTCTCTCTCGCGCGCGCCCGCGTCCTCCGTGCCCGTACCTGAGTTGAGGTTGACCTCCCGGATGCTCGTGCTCGTGTAGTCCTCTTTACACACGAACTTGTTCTCGTCGATGACGTAGAGCTCCTCCCCGGTGGAGAGCTGCTTGTTGCACGCGGCGCAGGTGAAGCAGTTCAGGTGGAACACCTTCCCGCGCGCCCTGCGCACCAGGTCACCCGGAGAGATGCCCTGCAGACAGCCCGCGCACTTAGTGCCGAAACGCCTGCAGAACACACACAAACAAACAGACAAACAGATAAATAAACATATCAGAGAGGGTGTGAGAGAGAGAGAGAGAGAGAGAGAGAGAGAGGTGTAGACTGAGCGCGCGCTAAACTAACATAAAATACAAACACTGCGAGGACACTATGCTTGATAACACAATAATAATAATAATAATAATAATAATAATAATAATAATAACAACAAGAGCAAAATACATAATAACAAAACAACAATGACAACAACGTCATTAAACACGTAAAAACAAATAAAACGAAACTACTAAAACAAAATAACGACAAAACAAAAAAATAGCAGAATAATAACAGGAATATCTATTATGGCCAAAATAAATAGTGAAATAATAATAATAATAATAATAATAATAATAATAATAATAATAATAATAATCATTTTATAGAGAAAGACAGAAGGAGAGGAAGCCTGTGGAGTGTGGTGGTCGTGGTATCTGAGGGGCTGTTTAAACATACAGACTCTCCTCCCCTCAGTCTGTAATAAACCCCAAACCCAGAAGAGCCTGAAAATGATCTCATATTACAGGATTAAACACACACACACACACACACACACACACACACACACACACAGGCGCACGCGGCCCTGTCAGAGCATTACACTCCTCACAAAGTGTCTTAAAGGATCAGCGTCAGAGCAACAAGACTGAACCTTCACTTCCCTCTCACTGCCTACTTAACTGCACAACAACAACAATAATAATCACAACCACCACAACAACCACAACAAGAATAACAGCACCAACACCAACAATAACAACCGCGACCACCACCACAACAACCACAATAACAACACCAACAACAACCGCAACCACCACCACAACAACCACAACCACCACCACAACAACCACAATAACAACAACCGCAACCACCACCACAAGAACCACAATAACAACACCAACAACAACCACCACCACAACAACCACAATAACACCACCACCAACAACAATAACAACCGCAACCACCACCACAAGAACCACAATAACAACATCATCAATAACAACCACAACCACCACCACAACAACCACATCAACAACAAAAAACAACAACCACCACAACAGACAACCTCAATAACCACAAATAACAACAGACAACAGTAAACAATCACAACAACCACCACCAGCAACAACCTCAACAATCACAAGAACAACCATAACAACAACCACTACAATAACAACCACATTATTAACAACAATACCAACCACAGCAAACAACCATCAACCAACAACCACATCATCAACAATAACGACCACAGCAAACAACCAACATCCAACAACAACCACATCATCAACAATAACAATCACAGCAAACCACCAACATCCAACAACAACAACCACATCATCAACAATAACAACCACAGCAAACCACCAATATCCAACAACAACAACCACATCATCAACAATAACAACCACAGCAAACAACCAACAACAACAGCCACATCATCAACAATAACAACCACAACAACCAAAACCCACTACCAACACTGTAAAAAACTGGCTCCTCAGATCAACCTAAAAAAAATTGCTTCCTGACATAACAAGCAATGGAACTATTTATTTTATTGTATTTATTTAGGTTGAATACAACTAGTTAATTTACTTATATACTTATAACCACATGAAAAATTGATCAGGTTGAATTGACAAGCCAGTTTTTACAGTAGACAACAATAACAACCACAACAACCACAACAACAAAAAACACTACCAACAACAATAACAACCACCAACAATAACCACATCATCAACAACAACAATCACAACAGCCAACACAACAACCACAACATCAACCACGATTACAGCCACAAGAACAACCACAACATCAGCCACAACACTAACAGCCACACTGAAGCTCCACTGAGTGTGTTCAGCTTCTCCTCTCACTGGCTGCTCACTGAGCGCTCCGCTCATTCAACACTGATTAAAGTGTTTATTCAGTCTAGTCTACAGCTCTGAACCAGCACAACAACAACAACAACAACAACAACAAAACCACCACTACCAATAACAACAACAATAACGAGTATATTTATGCTCTGCTTAATCGACAGTGTATTTTAGTGAACAGTGTATTTTAATGAACAGTGTATTTTAGTGAACAGTGTATTTTAATGAACAGTGTATTTTAATCAACAGTGTATTTATAATAACAGCATATTTTTAAGGGGAAAAAAGATAAACAAGACAAATAAACAACAGCACAATACACATTAACAAACAAAAATAAACACCGATGAACAGCAAATAAAACGGATCGCAGCTCTCAGCAGGCTCTCTCTCTCTCTCTCTCTCTCATGCAGCAGATCTTCCTCCGTTTGTTATGCTGTATGGACTCTCTTTCTCTTTCTTTTCACATGTATGTGTCTCGTTGAGGGGGCAAAAGCAGCACTTACACACCCCAAATGGGGCATTAGGGCTGATTAGTGACCCCCCACATACACACACCTGGATGGTCAAGGCCGTTTGCACACAATAAGCCAAAAATGCCTAACATTAACCACAATAAAGACAATAAACATATAAACACCTAATATAATAAACAATAAGGACAATAAACCAGAGATAAAAAGCAAAGCCTAATATTATACACGCGATGCTTTATTGTATAATGCGATATTAAATAAAGCGCAGACCAGCTAGTATTAAATTAAAAACAATGCACAACACCTAATATTTAATAAAAGACAATGCACAGCATATAATAATAAATAAAACATACGATTAAATTAAATATTAAGTAAATAAAATAAACAATGCGAAACACAAACTGAGACACAGACAATACACACCACTTAAATAAATAAAAGAAAATAATGCCAATAAAACCATAATAATAATAATAATAATAATAATAATAATAAAACAACAGAAAGAGAAGCCTATGCTAAAGCGCGGGCTGGACTGGCTATGTGTGTGTATTATTTCTCCAGTCTCTCTATTATTATTATTGTTGTTATTTTTATTATCGTTATGTAACACTTCTATAAATAATGATAATATATTATATTATAACGTAATTATTATTACTATTTAAGTATGATATTTATATGTTTAAAATATTTTTAGTTGGATGTTGATGTGTGCGCGCGCGCGGCATTTTATATTTCAAACTATATGCTACATTTTATCTGAACCTGAATATCAGGCACGCGCATAGATGTGAGCATATTGGTGCATTAACAGTGCATGTGTAGAGCTTTAAAGCTTATGATATTAATATTAGGATAAAGCGTTGATATTGTACTCATAAATGCCGCACAGACTACTGTGCATTGATACACTGATATTTAGCGCGTGAGGTCTAAAGCGTGCTGCACTGAATTATGTGTTGCATTGAGAGCGCATTAATATTGTGATGCATCTGATTCATTTAAAACGGCAGCAAATACAGCGAATGAATGAGATCCTCACTGACAGCTCTGACCTCCTGCTGGACATTCACGCTGTTTAATGTTATTACATTGCTATTAGTTGCTAATAATCTTATCTATACATTTGAAGCGTTATCAGTCAGAATGCTAACAGCCTGATTACTGAAACTCTTTAAAAAGGTGGTTCTTCAAGGGTTCTTTTGTAAAGGCACTGAGTCTATTTAGAACCATGAGTTCTAGGTAGAATCATTGCATGCTTAAATGGTTCTTCAGATTGGTGAGGAATGTGTTGTTTATTTGTTCTGTGCATAACCTTTTTGAAAATGATTCTAAATAGAACCAAAAGGGGCTCTGCTGTTGTCAGAAGTTTCACGCCATAAAAATAACGGAACCCTGTTTGGCGCTATATAGAATCATTTTCTGCAAGGTTCTGTATAGAACCTTTCTTATGGCCCTACAAAGGTTCTTCTATTACTCCAAGCTTGACATCGTGACAATAGCACACTCTTTACAAAGGTGGTTCTTCAAGGGTTCTTTAGTAAAGGGAATCGTTCTATTAGAACTATGAGTTCTGTGTAGAATCACTGTATGCGTAAATGGTTCTTTGATGGAGATTGATGGAGAACGTTCTGGTTATGGTTCTATATAGAAGCTTTTGAAAATGGTTCTAAATAGCACCAAAATGAGATCTGCTATTGTTACAGGCTTGGCATCGCAACAATAGCAGAACCCTTTTTGGTGCTATATAGAACCATATACTACACTTCTTATAAATGCAACTCATGGTTCCAAATAGAGCCATTGCCTTTACTAAAGAACCCTAGAAGAACCCCTGAAGAAGGGCTCTTCTTAAGAGTGTATCGTAATTAAGTATTTATAAATACATTTTGCTGCATTACTGGGCTAATAATAAGCTTAATAAACCCAGAATTTGCACCCAAAAATAGACGAATAATAAATAAATAACGAATAAAGAAATGCGCACGTGCATCAATGATCAAATAAGCTTTTGTTTTCTATTAACAACGCAAACGCACCGGACAGTGAACATGGAAAAATATTGCAATCAATCTTTTATTCGTGTTATTAATATTCGCAGCCTTCAGCTGGAGGTGCCATGAAAGTCTCGCGCTCGAGCTCGCGGCTGAACCGTCACTCACGAGCTCTTACAGCAATTACAGTCGCGCTAATCCACAAAATCCACGGAATATAATCGCGGATTAGTATATAAAAAATGCAATTTAAAACATTTAACCCCCCCGCCTTCCACGCGCGCGCGCTCCTCACCTGATGAAGTCCTCCCTGCAGTAGAGTTTGCCCTCGCGGGAGAAGCAGCGCTCGGTCAGCGCGCGCCCGCACTCGCAGCACTGCACGCACTCGGCGTGCCACGCGCGGTCCAGCACGTTGAGCAGGAAGCGGTCCAGGATGGGCCTCGCGCACCCGGCGCACTGCACCATGCTGCTGCTCGGACGGACGCCGCGCCTCGCGCTGCACGGCCCGCGCGGACGCTCGGCGCGCGGCAGCGTCGCGGCTGCTGGGGTGTGGGGGGAGGGGATGGGAAGCGAAAGTTGGGCGGAGGAGCGGAGGAGGCACGAGCGCGCCGTGCCGCCGTGCGCGCGTGGCCAAAGCGTTCCGGCTCGCGGAACAGGACTTCTCCCCTTTTCCACGCCACGCCCGAGCGCGCTACTCCGGTGCGCGCGCTGTACGCGTCCTTACCATCCAAGCCAAAAATGAAAAATTATATTTAAAAAAATGAAAAAGAAGGAGGAGCGGGAGAGGCCGCGCGCGTCCGGGTCACTCTTCACTCTCCACTTTTTAATCGCTCTTTTTCCTCTCTTATCTCCTTTTTCCTCCTTTTTTCGTTTTTCTGTTTTTATCTCCGTTTATTTTTCTCTTTTTTTTTCTCCCCACCTCGTGCGCCGTAACGCCCCTCGCGCGCACTCTGACTGACACTCCAGGTTCCAGCTCGCTCAGAGCAGCGGTCTGATTTTTTGGTGACGTTCTCCGGCTTAATTGGCGCCGCGCTCGGCCAATCAGAGAGCGGTTGCCGTGGAAACAGATTTAAATAACGGCCCTTTTTCGGCGGAGACGCTTAAGAAAACATTTAAAATGTTGAGGGCGCCGGAGAAACAAATAGAGGATATTATCTTTCGAGTTTTTTTATTTGTTTGTTTGTTTTTGTTTTGTTTTATTTCTTTTCCTCTTTCTTCTTTTTTTCGTTTATTGTTCTTTTCGTTTTTATTAGCGCAGAAAGCAGGCGGTTTCGATGAGGACGGAGTCTTTCTTTCTCTGTGGACTGGACAGTATTGTAAACGTGTCTGTTTGGCGGTTTTAATGGTGTTTTCTGGAGCGCTTTGTTTTAAAGGCCTTCTCCAGACTGGATGAAGGTAAAGGCTGATTTCGCCGGTACTCTGTATGTGTGTGTGTGTGCGGTGGGTGGGTGGGGGGCGGTGTATGAGTGGGGGGGGGTCCCTGTCTTTTCTCATGTATGCCGCTATTTACAGGGAAATGTGCGCTGAGCTCCATCAATGGTGGTTTGGCCGAGGGGCCTCCAATGGAAAGGGAATTTAAATATTTACTCAGCTCATCGTTTTCTTAGCTCTGGAAATGCAAATATCACTCACATGGTAATGTACAGGCTCGAGGACAGTGAATTAACAACGATTCAGCAGCTGGGCGTGTGAGCGCGCGCGTGTGCGCGCGAGTTTAATCGGTCTAAGGTAAATGTTGATGGTCATTATGTTACATTAGGCTTTCTGACACTTTACAGCTGTTTGTACCGCTCTGTGTTTGTATTCATGCTTGGTAAATATGTTCAATTTAAAAACTTTTATTATATAAAATAAAAGCGAGCTGGTGGGACATAATTTTATATATACATATTACTGTAGGCCTGTATTATGATTTGTGTTTATGTATGCGTACTATGTTATATTTATATTTTAAATGAGGGGCGTATTAGAATAAATGCACGTATATACTAAAATTATACATGTTTAATGTATGTAATCGTACTGTATTGTTGTGTATATGTTGACTATTTCTGTTTCCATTATTATCTATTGTACACGTCAATTGTAACAATTTTACGGTTTATAAAAAATGATCAGCGCGAGCCTACTTGCCTTATTTATTTATTTATTTATTTGTATTTATTTTTGTACAGAGGCTAGGAGAATGTGGATCAATGATTCAAAATATAGCTTGGTAACACATTATTATTATTATTATTATTATTACATTTATAACATTAAAGTGTGCTTAAAAATAACAATGAAAATTTTGCATTTTATTTAATATTATTAGCTAATTGGATGAGCAGCGCAGGCTTGTATTTTGAAATTTGCTTTTTAATTATAAAAACTGAATTTGCTTTTAGAAATAAAACTATTCAAATAATCAATCAATCAATCCGTCCAGATTATCGCCGCGTGCTTGCTCGCGGTGCTGTCCCAGCTATAAATCTACAAGTTTCCCTTTACTTCAGGACTTTTATTTTTTCATTTTTTCACTTTTATTTTCGTGTTTATTCATTTTTGATTGAGAAACAGTCGCGCGCTCTGGTCATAAAAGCCCTAATAAAGACAGAATAACAGAACGTTATTCAGATAAAAACATGTCGGTGTGAACATGGTTATTGGCAGTAATACCTTGTTGAAGGTTTTTACACCCCCCCCCCACCAGCCCTTCACCACCCCCCAACAGACCCCCCCCACCCCAAAAACCGGCACCTGTTTTTGTGTTTTCAGGACCACCGCTGTTTCTCAGGCTGTGGGAAACATAGCAGTTGGGACACAAGACTCTTGGGTGTGATTTGTGTGTGTGGGGGGGTCTTTTATTTCTTTTCATAACCAGTAGACTGCACTACTCTGAAAAGTTCTCAAAAGGGGGCTAGTGCACACAATGCCAGACTGCAGAGTAGCACCATGGGCACTAGAGGAAAAAAAAATCTGAGGAGGCCAGAGAGACCAGAACGCACCTGAGAAACCTGATGGAACTGTCCGAGGTTCTGAACACACCTCAGAGGATGCAAATACCTGTCCGAGGTGCTGAGCATACCTAATAAACTTGAGAAAATGGTCCAAGTTGGTGATCATACCTAAGATATCTGAGGAACTGCCCAAAGTGCAGAACATACCCAAGAAACCTAAGGAAATGGGCCAGGTTGGTAAACATACCCGAGAAACCTGGGGAAATGGTCCAGGTTGGTGAACATACCCGAGAAACCTGGGGAAATGGTCCAGGTTGGTGAACATACCCAAGAAACTTCGGGAAATGGTTCTAGTTGATAAACATACATGAAAAACCTCAAGTAATTGCCAAATACAGTTGAACACTCCTGAGAAACCTTGGGTAATACAGCTGAACACACCTGGGATACCTCAGGTATTGTCCAATGTGATGAATGCACCTGAAAAACCTCAGGTAATTGAATAATGTGCTGAATATGCCTGAGAATAAACACAGGCAACTCAAAAACAGCTGAATACACCTGAGAAACCTCAAGTGTCTGTCTAAAGTGCTGAATATATCTGAGGAAAAACTCAGGTAACTGCCCGATGCAGCTGAACACACCTGGGAAAAGTCAGCCAACAGCCTAAAACAGCAGAACACACCCAACAAACCTCAAATATTTGCACAAGGTGCCGAGGAGAACCCCTTAGAACCCCCTTAGCCCAATACAACTAAACATACCTGAGAAACCTCAGGTCACCACCCAATACATATAAATACACCTAATAAAAACTTCAGGTCATTGCCCACAACAGCTAAACACACCTGAGGAACCTTATGTAACTGCTCACTACAGCTGAACACACCTGAGTGAATTCAGGTAACTGCTCAACACCTAAAAAACCTCAGGCAACAAGCCAATACAGCTAAACACACCTGAGGAACTTAAGGTAAGTGCCAAATATAGCTGAACATACCTGGGAAACCTCAGGCAATGGCTCAAAATTGCTGAACTAATCTCAGAAAGCTCAGGTAATGCCCAATTCAACTGAACACACTGAGAAACTTCATGTAAGTGCCCAAGACAGCAGAACATACCTGAGAAATCTCAGCTAACTGCCCTAAACAACTAAACACTACCTGAAAAAGCTCATGCAACTGCTCAATACAACTGTAACCACCTGCTTAATCCATCTGAACAAACCTCAGTCACTGCACGTAACCACCCAGTACAAGTGAACATTCCTGAGAAACCTCAGGTAACTGCCTAAAACTGGTAAACACACCTGAGAAAGCTCAGGTAACTGCTCTAAGCAACCGAACACACCCGAGAAACTTCATGTAACTGCCCAATACAGCTGAACACACCAGATAAACTTTAGGTCACTGCACAGTCCAGCTGAACATATCTCAGAAACTGAGAGTAAGTACTTGATACAACTTAACAGACCTGAGAATCTTCAGGTAACTGGTGAACAAACCTCAGAAATCTCAGATGACTGCCAAAAACTGCTGAACACACCTCAGAAACTTCATGTAACTGCTCAATACAACTGAACACACCTGAGAAAGCTCAGGTAACTGCCCAAAACTGCTGAACAAAGCTCAGAAACCTTAGGTGACCGCTTAAAACTGCTGAACACACCTCAGAAAGCTCAAGTAATGCTCTGTACAACCAGACACACCAGAAAAATCCCAGGTAAAGCCCAGTGTAATTGAACACACCTGAGAAACTTCATGTAACTGCCCAATGCAGCTAAACACACACCTGAAAAACTTCAGGTAACTCCCCTAACTGAACACTACCTGTGAAAGTTCAGGTAGCTGCTCCATCCAGCTGAACACACCTGAGAAACTGCCTTAAAGTACATGACTCCATCCACCTGACCACACCTAGGAAACCTCAGGCGACCCCTCAGGTAACTGCCTAAAACCGCTGAACACAGCTCAGAAACCTCAGGTAGTGCTCTGTACAACCAAACACACCAGAAAAATCTCAGGTAAAGCCGAATGTAATTAAACACACCTAAGAAACTTTATGTAACTGCCCAATACAGCTAAACACCTGAGAAACCTTAGCTAACTGCCCTAAACAACTGAACACTACCTGAGAAAGCTCAGGTAACAGCTCAATCCAGCTGAACACAACTCAGAAACTTCATGTAGGTACCTGACACACCTGACCACACCTGGGAAACCTCAGGTAACCCCTTTAGGTAAATGCCTAAAACTGCTGAACAAAGCTCAGAAGTCTCAGGTAACGCCTAGAACTGCTGAATACACCCGAGAAACCTCAAGTAACTGCCTGAAACTGCTAAACACACCTGAGAAACCTGCTCTAAACAACTGAACACTACCTGAGAAAGCTCAGGTAACTGCTCAATCCTGCTGAACACACCTCAGAAACTTCTTGTAAGTACCTGACACACCTGAACACACCTGGGAAACCTCAGGTAATCCCTCAGGTAAAAGCCTAAAACTGCTGAACAGAAACTGCATGTAA